CAGGTCCCTTCTGACCCTAGAAACTATGAAACTATGCATCCTGCCATACCTTGACCCACAGGGAGAGTGACCCAATGCAGGACAACAGGTTATGTGTTGCAACAAAGGGTAGGGACATCTATTTACTCACCATTTTTACCACCATAAAATTTTTTATAGTAGCACAAATGCAACATCGGGTGACGCCTGTTTCTACCTTTGGATCCATAAATTCTAACTTAGCTTTCCTTTCCAGGCTGCCACTGCTCACCTTGAATCCCTCCAGCTTTCTGTTTATGCTTGATCCCTTCTGAACATCAGTCCCTTCAGCATCCAAGCCCTATACCAGCCAGATACTGAATTGCTTGTCCTTGATTGACTTTTATCCACCATTCTTTCCCTTCAAGACATTCTATAGCATACACTGAAAGCTTCTTGCAATATTATCTATAGTGCTATTTAGAGTCTCCTCCACTGTCAAGTTTCTACCTAGAAATCTTCTCCAGGACTCTCAGAGGATGGAACAGTTCAACCACAAAGGCAACTTTCTGAGAGCTTATAAGGCAAGTTGAAATAAAACATGTAATGTAACAGAATTTAATGTACCATTCTGGAACAACTGGTTCTTGCTAGAATGGGCTTTTGTCACAGAAAAATACTACCAAAAGAAAAATATTCAGCATTTACTGGTTTCAGTGACTAGTTTTTTTAGACCAATGCAAGAACAAAATTAGCTGTTTTTTCTTTAGATGACTCAGAGTTCCTATATTTCATTATAACTTTAGCAAAATTACATTTACCATCAGAGATTCTTGCATTTGTCCTTAAGCCCAGAACCTAACATGGGGATAATCCATTTAGCTGAAGAGACTCAGTACTGGAGGGGAGATATTGCCTTTTGTTTAGAGTGAGACAGTCATCTTTTCCTCTCCTGTTGTTTGTCACTTAAAGCTGCTGTAGATTAATATAACCACAAATTTGTCACATCACATTTTCAGGCATCAGCTTTTATTTAGGAGACGTCGGAAGCGTAGCTAGGGAATAAAAGTGTGCATCTAACTCTGATTTTAAACATAAACCAAGTTACAGTTCAGATTTTATTTGGACTAGTCAAGGAGAAATTTTATAGTTAAGGTTCCCACAGCAATGCAAACCTACCTTCCTACTGTTAGACACTAAACTAGTGTCTTTACTTACATTAATCACAAACACCGGATGATGTGGCCTCTTACTGGACAGAAAATGGTGTTAGTAAACAGCTAGACTTGTTCTCGCCAATATCTGTGGATTTTATGCAAATCAAGTTCTCCCTTTAGCAGAGGGATGTATACTGTTTACAGTGAAACCTGTTTAAGATAGCACCTGTATAAGCAGAAACCTGTATACTCCTGGCATGCCTTCTCATCTGGGAATCTCCTCCTATAATAGTAACCTATAAGAAGGAAGTAAAAAATGTTCCTGGCCCTGTATAATTCCATGTTTAACAGGTTTCATTGTATATGACACATTGATTAATAACTCTGCCCCCAACTTAAGTTTAAGAATACCAAAAGGTGTTATGTTGCCAGTTCTAGAGCTTGTATTCTTATCTCCGCACATCCCTCTTACCACCATGCCACCTTTTCAGAGGAGCATTTAAGTCTCCATCTCTAATCAGTCCTTGGACAACCTGATAATAGGCTCATGTACAGAGAAGAAGTCTGAAATATCCATAACTCATGTCATAAAAGCTTCTAAACATATCTCAGATAATAGATTTCAAACATTACCAGGAGGTACTGGGAAAACCAGTAGCTGGAAGGTTCTTAAAACATAGGCCAAAGGACAACTGTAGCTCATGAATGTCAAAATTTAGGTGTTTACATATCTCTGAAAAGGTAATTGGTTTGTACAGATGTTTGCATACTTGTTTTAGTCTGGTTATTTAAGAATGGCTGAAGCCTGTGCTCGTTGTAGATCACTAGGTTTTTGCTGAAATAGTTGTACTACCCTTCTTAAATGAGAGATGCTTTTAGTTACAAAATTTAGACAAAGAAAAAAATCTACCTAATCTCAAATTAATTTAATAGGAGCAATCAAAAGGTGCTCACCCAAAACACATCACTGCTTAAGTACAACAAAGGTGGTATAGCAGAATTAGGCCCCTGGGTTGATTATGACACCCCCTGGAGGCTGTGCGGCTCCTCCTTCCTCTGGGTCTTGAGTCCTACCTTCTCCTTATCCTGCCATACCTTTGATGTTATTTAGAAAGGAAAAGATTGGGAGGCGGCCCAAAATCCCCAGGGGTCTAGTCTCTCTTGCATTGTCTGTGGCTCTCGTCGCCAGTTACCTTAAGGGCTATGTTCATGGTCTCTGACTGTCCCTAAAGCCATGCCCATGCCTCACAGGTATCACCAATTAATTATTTCAGTAGGCCTTCATCCCCAGTTTGGTATTGTGCCGCTTCAGTCCTCTAGGCCCTTGTTAGGTCCCCAGGCCTCTGCCCTGTCCACTTATGTGACCTTTAGTCTAGGTCCATGGTGTTGTACCTGGCCCCCAGGCCCCGGTCAGTGTCTTGTCCATCTCTGTTCTGTATGTAGACAATAAGGCACAGCTACAGTGCCTCTGACCATAGGAGAAGATACCCCAGGAGTACAGCACTCCCATTCCACACAAGCTATGGTCGAAAAAATGTAGCTGTTGTTTGGCATGTACCCAGTGCCACCACTTAGCTCTGAGAATCAAGTTTGCTTCCTGATGCACACCTAGTGCTGCTCCAAGGACTGTTAGGTTACATTTTTTCAGGCTATGGTGGATACAGAGTAGGGGTGCTGAGCTATTCTGCAGCATGCCCCAGCACAGCATGAAGGCTATGCAGACGTGACTAAAGATATGTTCTTGTATCTTGTCTAGAGATAATTTCACCCAATGCAGAAGCTCAACAATTACTGTGTTAATGAGAAAATTATTTTGCCACTGCATTACACGTAGTAGTGAAATTGCCTTTTATTATAAGCAAAAAACAGTTATACTGTGAAAAAACAGAACTCTAGATATTGTTTAGGAGAGCTACACATAAGTAGCAACTGACTAGACTCAGAAACCAACTGGTATATCAAGTTCAACATGGAGTGAAGGCAAAAATTCCAGAAACAACAGGAATTTACAGAAAAGATAGACTTCAAGATTATTCTTCCAAAAGATTTAACACTTTCTGACACTCCCAGCTGGGAGCAGAAACTAATGTCATTCACGTAGTTCATACTGTTTCAAAACTGTGGTTGGAGAGAGTGTGAAGTACTGTATTCTCTGTTCATCTCTATTCTGTGCTTTATTCTTCAGACCTGTTGTAGAATTTCCTTCCTCAAAGCAACGAGCATACACACTGCATCTACATTGGCACTAGAGGGATAAATGCAGTGAGAAAGCTAGATATCAACAGGTATGAATGGAGAAGAAAGTTCCGCTCCTTAATCTCTGAAGAATGGCTTGAGACCGTTAATACTCAGCACTGAAAGGATAGTCTTTGTGATTTGTGCACCTAAGAGAAAGAAAGGAAAAATTATGCTGAAGTCTGAATTACACATATTAGGTGTCTGCCAAATGATGGTTTGGGCTTATTCACAAGTTTGTACATGCTTCAAGGTTCTACATACTTCAGGAAGAGATCCAAGGTTAAGCACCCTCTAACACCTGTGTTATTAAGATATTGCAAATTCACAGATGGCAAGATCTGAATTTCTACAGCAAGGATTTAGGATTTTGCACCATATCATTTAAATGATAAGTTATCCTTAGAAGTATTTTCTTAATGACGCAAGGTACTCTGATCTCCACAAAAAACCTATTATGAAGTAATACTACATACTGACTATTTGATGCTTGCGCACACGTAGTATCTAAACTATGGACACCTATCTTGTAGAGGTAGTGAAAAAGCATAGAAGAAATTTTAAATAACTTATACGTGACAAATTAGTTTGACCACCAAGGTTATGACTCAGGCATTTGACTGCTAGCCCTGTGTTTCATTTTTCTGTTTTGCTGCCTCTGTAATGCTGGAAAATTGAAAATTATTTTCTAGAATGTGGTCCTTTGTTAGAGTTCTATTTCCAGAGAAATCTTACTATATCACTCAATTTCTACAGAGCATCTTTAAAATCTCTGCAAGCAAAGGTACCCTATGATTTAGATTAATTCAGGCATACTTCAACCCATCGTTTGCACTTCATTACCTGAGGTTTCAATATTAATTTGGAATAGAGGGATGCATGTTTTAAACTCTAAGCTCCAAAAGGTTCAAAGTATACTTCAGTTTGTGACTAAGTGCATTTCCCCTTGTTTGAGTCTAGCATTGTCTTCTAGTTGACAAAGGTTTCCAAGTAAAGCCTGAGGCTTCTGACTTCAAAAGATATGGCAAATGAAAACCAGCATGTAAATTAACGCTATTAAATTTTTAAAAATTCATCAAGCAAAAGAGTACAAGGATTACATTTTGAATCATAAGGAGTAAAGAGCTACTTGGGCATAGCTAAACAGAATGCATATATAATAAATGGAAATGTATGGAAGAACGCAAGTTACTTGTTCATTTCAGTATGTGTAAAAATCTATTTTCTATTTCTTTTTGTTTTAGAAATGGCACTAAAAAATAAAAATGTAAATGAAATTGTGGGAGCCAATCAGACTGAGAGTATCTCAGCTTCTAGGACTTGCATGGGCAAGTTTAATTTCCTAATCCCTCATTTGAGGTCAGCATTTAACATTTTAACATTAAATATTCAATCCTCAGCATTCCTGTGAGGCAGAGATCTCTATTTTACAGACAGTATGTTTCAGACAGATTGTTTAAGAGACACAGAACGAGTCTTGCATCAGAACTAGGATTAAATCGTAGAAGTAGATGCTCAGATTTTTCTCCCTTCTGGAAGAGAGTTAAAAAAAAAAAAATCAAATTAAGTTATTAAAACACAAAAGTTCTCACTCCACTTAAATATTACATTTCTCTGAAAAATATTTGACACCTCTTCATAAAATAGATTTTAGCCAAGTTTGCGTTTACACATTTTTAAAAAAAAAGAGATGCTGAATTTCATTCAAATGGGAACTCATGAATTTAAATTAATTCCTGAATATTTCTTTAAATAAACCTTATGAAACCCTCTGCAGAGGACTTTAGTGTTTTAAGTTGTCACCTACGTGCTCATTGCACAGACCCTCCAGTCTCTGTTAAAGCTGAGGATGGTTTCCATCTCCTCTTTAGTCAATTCGAAGTCAAATACCTGGGAACAAGAGACTCAGTTGTCAATTCATTCTTCAAAGTTTAATTGCTAGCAACCAGTGATCTAGCTAGGAACTTAATTCATGGTTTCATGGATTTCACAGAAACTGTGAAATCTCGGATTGTCCATGAAATCAACCAAAAAAAAAAAAAATTTAACATGCTGGGGCCCCACTGGTCCTTGCTGCTGGGAGGGGAATGTGCTGGCTGGCAGGGCAGCAGATAAAATGGCTGCTGCCCCCTCATCCCTCCTTCCCCCCAGAGGCCTCTCTGCCAAGCAGTACTAAGGAGCAGGGCTGCCACAGAATGACTGCAGAATGACAGTTTTAGGTCACGATCAACCCAGAAAAATTGGTAACCCCCCCACGATTTAAGTAGACCCCTAATCCCAATTTGAAAGAGGAAAACTTAAAAATAATTCTCAATTTGACCAGCAAATTGGTGCTGGTTAATAGTGCTCAATTGTTTTGTACAATAATTTCCTTTTGGATTTTGAGAATCTATTGCAGTGGTTCTTAACCTTTACAGACTTGAGGCACTTCTCAGCAAATGCAAACTTTCAGTTTTTCCTCAGTTTCTGACTCTAGAAAAATCGTGCAACTTTTCATTTGCAAAGAACTGAGAAAAAATATCACAACAGGTCAGAACGTTTTAATGCTACGGATTCCTGTTTGAAATCTCTGGGTTTATCCTGTGAATCACGTTTACATGACTAACAGTGACACAGTGTGGCAACCTTGAAAAGCTCTCAAGGCACCCTGGTGGAGAATCACTGGTCTATTGGTTGGAGGAAGACACGATTTAATATGACAGCCATGTTTTACAAGAGGTTACAATCAAGTGCAATGTATTATGTGTTCATCTTGCTGCTTTTGTTATGTACAATTCATGGTACCACCTTATTAATGCACTTTTTAAAACGTCTTTGTAATAGGGCTTGGTCCTGTTACTATGGGCGTGGAGGAGCCCGAATGGCCCCACCGCCTGAAAGCATTCCCCCACACCCACCCCAGAGCTGGAGAGACTCACCAGAGGCTGAGGACCCAGGTCCTGGGACACAGGGAGCCTCCCAGCAAGGGAGCTAACTCAGATGTGGGGAAGGGGAGAGAGAGCCAGCCACGTGAGTCAGCAGGGGGGAAAATAAAAGATGCTGAAAGAAGCTTCTGGGGGCAGCTGCACTGGCAGAGAGCCAGGCTGCCTGGAGCCTGGGGATAGCCTGGAGTTAGCTGAGGTAAAGCAGCCGCAGGGACGGCTGTGAGCAAGACCTCTCTTGTGTTTATTTGTTTCCACAAGGCCCACAGGCCCTCAGAGCCTCTGAAAGATAAGAAGCAGGAGCAAGTGAAGCCTGGGAAAAGTCTAGCAAGCTGGAAGCATAAAACTTGGGAAAAGCTAAATGGCAGTTTATTTGTTTAACTGTTTGTTTCTTTTGCATCTCTTCCAAGCCCAGAGTGGTGCTATGGACTTAACTCAGCAGCAGCACAGGAGAGAAACCCGAACAGCGAGTCCTTAGCTAAAGCCAGCAGCAAAACTAAAAAATGGTCAACTTGGGGTGCCTGTCCAAACATGCCAGCTCTGCACAAAAGGTACCCATAACAGTGTACAATCTCAAATTCAGTGCTCCAGTTAATTAAATTATGTTTTGTTACTTGAGTTATTTAAATTATATATACACATAACATAAAAACTCTTTTATATTCAGTAACATGTCATTGAATTAAACTAACAGGCCACATCTAAATGAGTGTGACCATGCGGTGTGGTGCCACAAACCCACCTGTGGTGCCACACACTACACACTCAGGCACTTCCCACACTACCTTGCAGCGTGGGAGTGGGGTGGGGAGAGTTGACCCTGGAGATCCAGGGTTCATAAAAACTGGTGCAGAAAAAAAGCCGGGTAGCACACGTGGAGCCAGTGCATGCTGCTAGCCAGGCTCCAAGCTGCAGGAGCAACACGGCTGCGGTTTCCCTGATTCCCAGAACCCTACGTAAGGCTGCCGGGGTCAGTCCTGTTGCTGGCCCCAGCCTCCCCTACCCCACTGGAGGTAACCTGCTGCACATCACAGGGTGCGAGGCACAGGTGTTCCCTGGGGACAACTAACAGCGGCACAAGGTGTCCTGCTGCTAATTGTCCCTGGGGAACCAAACGTCTGTGCTTGTCTGGACAGCCATACAGAGCAAGCTATGGGTCTGTGTAAAGAAAAAAAATATTTTCTTGACATTACAGACAACTGCTGTTGATATGCCAAACTATCATCTGTGGACTGTTGGCTGTCTGCAAGATCACCATAAGAAGTCCACGGATTTCATACATTCCTGTGTTACATTACTGTGCTTTTGATTCTGTGGACTTGCAGGTCACTAGTGAACTATAGGCTATAGTTTGTTAATGACTGCTGTTGATACAGCAATGTCAGGAAATAGTTTTATTTACACAGACCCACAGTTTGCATTGTAATTGTTTAATTGAAAGCACACCCTTGTGCTTTGTAATCCACGAGAAATAGAGGGGCTGAAAGAGGTTTGCTGGTCCAAAGAGTTTGGGAATCGCTAACCCACACAGATTTATTTACTTCTTTTCTGCTGCAGCAGAAGACTGCATTTCAGTGCTAGGGGAGCTCAATTCACCATTTTTTTTTATTCTTTTTTTGGCAAAAGGCAGATGAAAGAAACACTGAATAGGACCTCAAACAAAATTACAGCTAGCTCTGAGCTATTTCTGAGTTACTTCTGCTCACTTTCACTCTTGATCCACAGTTGCTGTAAGTTTAACTGAAAGAGACCCCTCATCTGACAAGGACTAAATAGGCAGAGTGATAAACTACAGGCACCTTTCACAAAGGAAGTGGAGACCTCATCCAATTACTACTAATCATAGTCAGGATCAGAGCCATTTGCAATCTTACCTTAAAGTTCTCTGCAATACGGTGTGGTGTAACAGACTTGGGAATCACAATCACATTTCTCTGAATATGAAACCGGATCAGAACCTATATAACCAGAACACCAGTCAGTCAGAACTTGACTGGATCAACTGTTTCTATTACAACAAAGATTCAATATACAGTAAAACAATGTGGTGCAATTCAGCAGGAACAGAGTTCGTACACTGCCTAATATCATCACTTCAGTACTGAAGACCAATTAGTGCTTGCTGAAGAGCACTGAGTGGGACAGAGGGCAAAGGCAGATACCTCCCCTTCCTGTTTTCCAGACAGTCTGGTGACTTCTTTCCCTTTCAGTCAGATTTAAAGAATCAGACTCCAAAAGACAAAATGTCTATGCGAGGCTGGAATGATGAACCAAGAGGACCCACTAAAGACAGCAGGAAGGGTCATGCCGAAAACTCACTTTATCAGCCATATGTACCTGTGCTGGTGTTTTATTGTGTTTGGCTGCAATCTCCTTAATCTTGGGGTCATCCAGGAGGGAAGGATCCTCTGGTTTAGCCCTATAAAAATAGAAAGCAAAGTAGTCAAACTGTGGAAAGTCTCTATAGCATGATTCTATGTACTGTAATAGGCAGCCAGAGACTCCTATTAGTTTAAGGGGAGAATGCAGTAGGTCCAAGCTTGCTGTGTGGGGCAGGCATCTGGGCAAAGGCCAGCTGCTAGAAAGCAAGCAGGCCAGGGATAGCAAGGACAGGCGCTACCCCTGGGCAGTAACTCTCTTGGATCTTGCTGCAGTGCAGTAATCAGTCAAAGGCCAGGCCTCCAGACAGCACAGAAGTAAAGGCTGCAAGCAGCTGGATTAAACAGCAGCAGAGGAGGGCAAGCAAAACCCCTTTGTGTATGGCTGGGAAGCCATGAGACCAGAAGGGGTGGTGCTTTGGGGCATATAAACTTAGTGCCTGAAGCAAGGTGGGCAGTCTGGCCCTGCATGTTGCAGGGAGAGGAGCTCTTGGGAGCTGCAGTAAGTAGGCTCACAGACATCCAAGCCCCCTAAGAGAGCTAAGGGGGAGTATGACTTGCAGTGTGACATTGACTGAGAATTTTAGTTGGGGAAGTGGTTTGCTTACATTTGTGTTGTGTTTAAGTTTAACTGGAGGAATGGGTTGTGGCTGTAGGGGAGAACTGAGCTCTTGGAGGGATGCCTGGTGAGGGCACCTGTGACAGAAGCCTAGCCTGGGGTCAGGCACCCTGAGGGCTGGAGACAGGCCAAAGCCAAGAGGGTTAAGACTTCTGTAGTGGAGCTGGAGCATGGGAGAGGCTGTAGTCAAGCTTAGGATAGTGGCCCAGAGATAGGCAAAGGCTGTCAGGGCTACAACCTGGGTTGAGGTGCTGAAGTCTGAGAGAGGCTGAGGCCAGAACAGGACCAAGGGTCCAGGGACAGGCTAAGGCTGAGGGCCAAGAGCCTGGTAGGCTGACAGACAGGGCCAGAGGGCCCAGAGAAATGAATTCAGACAGGGTTGGAGGCCCAGGGAAAAAGGTTGTCAACCCACCAGGCCCCTGGCCCTCTAAAGGCTCAGACAGACAGAGAAACAAATCTGGACTAATGCCTGTGAGACCTGGGCATCATTATGGAGGTGGAGAGGGCCACAATTATTGCTCCCAAGGTGATTTGTGCCCTAAGAAACTGACAGGGCCAGGATGACGAGTCTAGGAACTGAGGGACAAGACGGGTGGCAGCCAGACATGAATTATTAGCCAGCTGAGGTGAAATGAGGTTTGATCTGTGTCCCTGGGGCAGTCTAAATATTATAATAACCATCTAGAAGTGGCAGGTGATGTAGAAAAGGGAGGTTACTCTGAGGAACCAGAGTAGGGCAGTAGTAGCTTGGCCACCAGGGGGTGTTACTGCTGCTGTTGGGGTGGGTCCTGCTACAGTAGCAACAAAAATGCTTACCTAGAACAAGAGAGCTGCTCATTTATTTTGCATAAAGCATCATGCTCACATACATTAGAGGAGAGGTTGGAAAGCACTCTTACCATGGCCTGTCAGGAGAACCAAGAGGACTGTACGCAGTCACAGCAATCCCTTTGGATTGGCAATACTTGATCAGTTTTTCTTGGGTGAGGTATGGGTGACACTCAATCTGAAAGACAAGGATGTAAAGGTTCACAGCGGAAAACTGGACTAATGCTACTGTGCTTCAGGGGGTCTTTTTCTATTCTAACTGAAGGAAAAAAAAGCGAATTCTTTGTTATGACTCAAGGTAAGTCCTGCATATGTACACAATTCTCCAGAGGCGCGCGTGCGCGTATGTGTATGTGTTTAACTGGCTGTATTACAGCAGGATCTTGCAAAGCAGAGATGGACTTTATACATTAATACAATGTAAACAATCAACTTTATTCTGCAAACACATACAGAATAATTACCAATGTGCATCACTATTCAACTAAAGTAGTACTATGAAGTCTGTGAAAGTGTGGTATAAAAATAAAACTAAATCATTCTGGAGAGCAATTCAATCAAGCACACCTCTTTTGCCCTGCCCAGTATGAAGTTACAGTGTCTTTCTTCTCTAACTAAAGACAATCCATTTTTTTAAAAACTACTCTAGTACTAGTCCTAGAGCTGTAGTGTTATAGATCAGGGACTGGCAACCACTGTGTGTTCAACCTGCCTCAGAATACCCCTCACCACCAAACAACATGGATATCTGGGCTTCAAGGGCTAAATGAAATCGCTTGGTAGGCTGGATTAGGTCTTCAGGTTGTAGGGTATCAACCCCTGTCCTACCTAGACCATTACTTTAGAATAACATACGATCATTTCAGTGTTTAGGGATATAGCACATTCCCATCAGTTAGCAGGAATTAAACTTCAAAGCTCAGTTAACTGCTGTGCATCAATATGTGGCAAGCTACATAGGGTACTTGCCGGTATAGTAGCCTGCAGGTGGGGCCAGAGCTGGTAGTGGCTAGGACTGATTGGTGGAAGTCATCGGACCCAGGAGGAGGGCTGGGTTTAAGGCAGATAAGCCCAGGTCCTACGGAGAGTTTGCAGTAAGATTGTGGAGCCTGCTGAGAGAACACCACCTTAGTAGGATGGCTGCAGCTCCAGAAGTTCAGCATGAAGAACCACATCTAAAGCAGTCTGGAGGTTTCGGAAGGAACTAAAGGGATGGAGGAGGTTCCTGGGGACCCAAGGGGGGGTCCAGAGCCCAGAGTGAAGGGCTGAGAGTATGGGACTTAAGGAGGGGTCTGGGTGAGCCCAGAGAGAGGGGTCAAGTGTATGCGACCTATTGTAGGGTACAGGAGGGTCAAGAGAGTGGGACCTGATGAGGGATTGACCCATGGAATCTCAACTTGCCTGTGCCAGGCCAGGGCCCAAGATGGGTCAAAAGCCCCAGGAGGGACCACTGCAGAGATTGCCAGAGCTGGGGGAGCCTAGAGATCTCAACTGGCCCACGGTGAGGCCAGGGCCTTGGAATGGAAAGCCCTAAGGTCCATGCATGGCCACAGCCCAAGAGGAAGGGGATCAAGGAGACTGTGGTCCAGTATAATGATGGCTCAGACGGTGCCATCTGAGTTGGGGAGGGTCCAAACGAGAAAGGGAGAACAGGAGCTCTGCAGCTGAGAGTGGGCCCAGCAGAGAGAACAGGAGCCCTGAGACAGAGTGGAACCAGCAGGGAGGGCTGTAACCTAAAGCAAGAGTGGGAACACAAGGGTCCAGAGAACCAAAGAAGGGCCAGGAAAGCATTGGACCAGTAGGGTCCAGGGAGGGACCAAAGGCATCTGGTAGCCCAGGAAGGGGCTGGATGAGAGACCAAGAAGTCCGAGGGCCCAGGGAGGGGCTGCATCTGTAATGAGAGAACAACGATGAGGATGACATCTGTGAGGCTTGGGGCATGGTATAGGGGTGGAATGGAGCCACGTATTTTGCCCATAAGGCAAGAACCACAACCACCAGGTGGCCATTAAGATGAGACCAGGGCAGCCTCCTGTATTTTAATACCAATTATCATCAAGACACAGTGGGTGAGAAGGGAAGACTGCCCTCAGAGCAGGGCACAGAAAATTTTTTTGGCCTCCAGGGGCTTTGTAGCCACCCCTGGAGATGGTACCTTGTGATGCAATGGTCTTGTCAAAAGAAACCCTACTTTAAAATCCTTAACCAGAAAGTAAATACTAAGCACCATTTTGCATATCTGTGCATCTTCAGATTACTGTTGCTTATAGCATTATTAGAGAAAAGCAAGCATAGGTTTCCCATCAGTTTTAATGCCATCATCTGCAACTTGGATAGAATGGATGAACGGGTAGAGACCAGTTAGCATCTGATTAATGTCCTGGCAATTTACTGCAGCAGCAGGGTTCAATTCAGCCATGATTATCCACATGTCAGGGTGGCATTAAATGGATTTGAACTGCAAGGTGATGGATAACTGGAGACATTTCCAGGCAAATACACTTTGGGTAAGCATGGCCTCATTTCAGCAATGAAGTTCAAGTAACTGAGACTGCACTGTCATTGAAACCTCCTATATTGCTGCTGCTATCAGACAGAGGACCTTGGAATACTGTATCACTGGCAGATGGAACAAGTCACTGAACTATACAGATTGGGTTACAGCCCTGTGTTTATTTATTTATGGTACCAGTTGGTTTCTTGTATGAGAATATTGGCGCTGTCCCAGAATTTCTCAACTAGCTAGGAATATTAGTCACCATACAGTTTATGACTGGGTTCAACTGAGTTGACTATACATAACTATTCAGTTTTGGCAGCCCTCATAAATCCAGCTTCTTGTACAGTGTAAAATGGACTGTTTGAGCAGGTGGCCCCTTTACATGGGTGCCCAGGAGGCAGAATTCAGACTATACATAGAACAAAATATGAACAAGAAACATTCTTGTTTCTTCACCAGGCTACAGTCAGAGGCTTCTAAGCTGTGCTGTTCAGTCTGCTACAGTCTCTTCAAGGTGAAGGGCTTATATTATCACATAAAAATACTAAGATGTCATTCGTTGGTGCTTTATATTACAGAGTCAGTATCTGGATTAGAGAAAAAGCCTTCCTTAATACTGGACTAACCAGGATTTTTAGAGATGCACACAAATATCATCATCTGCAGCACATCTGTAAAACACTCCTTGTAAACTATATGCTATTAACTCAAAGATGACTTTCTTCTACACAGACTGTGTCGATCATTAGGCTACATATGCACTACATTTAATCCTGAGAGACAGGCACATTTCAGATCTATGTATGACTTGTGTTGAACAGATTTCCAGCTTGTCCTGTGAAGTAACTCACTGCGGATGTTTAGCAGGTCCGGCAGTATCTCAGTAACAGCTCTTGTACTTACAAAGAGAAGCAAATTATGAAACAGAGACCACCCTCAATCTTTCCCCACTTCTGGTAGCTGCATGAGGAATAAAAGTTACATTAAATTCTAACTACCTAAGATTTCTCTGTAGCTTTAATTAGATTGAGTGTTCTTTTGCCTTCCCTTCTACCATCTTATATTCTATGCTATAGAAATGTGAATCTGATTTATTCCCAAAGAAACTATAGAATTTAAAATTTCCTCTGAAAAAATACTTACCCCTTCTCATTCTGTTAATGAGATAAGAAGAACTCTGTAATTTACAAACAGAATCTCATGGAACGGATATTCCTTGATGCCCAAATTTTCACTCTCACATACCACCAACATAATGCTTGAAACTGATGTTAATTTACAGGGAAAAAACTAAACACATTTCTATTGCTGGCCTACCCAAACTACTAACATTCCCAATTGTTTGGAGCAATAATAAAAGTAGCTGAAGTAATACAATATGGCAAAACTACCAAAGAAAGAGACAAGAAATTCCAAGCAATCTGTGTTGAAGGGTTTTCTGTTTAAAAAGGAGCAAGCGGAGGTCACAAAATGTACCAGCAATTTTTGCAGAATGGATTTCACAGCCATGAGACCAAAGTATAAAACTCAAGCAGTAACAGCCTTATCACCTTGGATCATAATTAAATCAACTCTCACAAACCGAAAAAAGAATCGCACATTATCAGGGGTGGGACAGGGTAGATCCTAGAAAATTCAGGGTTCTGCAGGCAACGGTGGCTGATGGGTGGACTTCATTCTTTTCCTTTGAAATATCCTGCTGGTGCACTAGTTTGGGCAGTATTCTAGTGTCAGCACATTAAAGAGCAAAACAAAAAAACATGATCACTTCCTCATTTGAAAGGCTGCACAGCACGTCCTGGTTCACTGAATACTGCAGCCTGACAAAAAGGAGAAATTCTTGTACTCTATTCTATTAAAATATTATCATATAGCTTTTATTAGTAAAATACAACAATGGGGATCAGGTTTTATTCTCACTTGCATTTAGGTATGATTAAAATTAAATCCTTTCGTTCCTCTGATAAGGGGAACATCATTGTAATTCCATCCTTTTAAGTTGTGTTACCAGGGAGATCATAACCCCCCGCATACTGATTTTACTTTGGAGATTTTTAAAAAACAATTAGTCAGGAACCACAAAGTTATTTTCCATCACCACAGCTATTACTTAACTTCTAGTGCATAACACTGTAGTTGCTGCTTATAGTTTCATAGTTTCTAGGGTCTGAAGGGACCTTAGCAGATCATCTA